CACCCTGATAAGGAGAAGGAGAAGTAAATGGATGAATGGATGGCTGTTAGCAGCACCAACACTGGGCACATTTTAAATCAAAGAGACAGTTATTATATACAAGTACTAATTTTTTTCCCTCCAACTCTAACAGGATCTCCATGAGTTATTCCTACAGTAGCAGCTATTCTGCCTGAGATCACACAAAAACAGGACAAAACACTGGATTACAGACAATACACAGTAACAGGAAACAAAATGAATATTAAATGAGCTTTTCTCACCATTTGTATTTTTTCCTCCCCTGTTGGTTCTGATCACTGTTTCATTCAGCCTGGTGATGATGACATCCTCACCATCAGAGAGATGAAACACACAGTCAAATCTGCTCCAGTCTTCAGGTCCGATTGATGAAATATCCAGGTCAACACTCATCTGGAAGGTCCCATCATGGTTAGGCAGTATCTCTTTGTGGTTCACATCCTCGTGTATCTCCTCTCCATCTTTCCTCCAAAACATCATGACTCTTTTAGGATAGAAACCTGTAGCGTGGCAGCTGACTGGAGAGGAGGGAGTCATCTGGAGGAGAGACACTGAGGGAAGAACTGGAGAGACAGATGGAGGCAATACAGGCAGAGGGAAGGAAGAAGTAGCAATTAGAAAATAAACCAGACCAGGATACAAAGAAAAACAAAGGAGAAATTCAATAGGAGGAAATGTACAGTGTATGTGTTAGATATAAAACATTATAGTACCAGCAGAAAATAATTGTGAGTGATTTTCTGTGTAGGTTTTCAGGCTTCCAAGTTATGGTAGTCTATGAAGCTTGTAAAGAAAGCAACTGGACTTTAACTTTCTTGTAGACGTTGGGGCAAATAGCGGAGAGTCCCATGTATCTAAACCCTGTCCCTTAAGACGGTTATTGACCCACTATTGATTATGTGCCTCGTCACATGAGCCAAAGTGTGAAAAAATAGGCGTGGGGTGGCTTACGACACCAACTGTCTGTCATCTACAATGTAGTTTGGAGATCCAGTCCCAGGTGCCTCAACCCCTACTCACATCTTGCGTCATGTGGGCTCAATAGGTCACATGATAGGTTGAGGAAAGGTGTTTATTGCATAAAAGCAAAAAGTGAATGGTGGCTTGGGCTACTCCAACACAAGTCGATAATTTGGTTAGTGATTTTACACTGTTAAGACAGTGTAAAAGTCTGCTCCAACACCTGCTGAAAAAAACAAGCAAAAAGAAAACAACACAGTAAGGAAACTACAGAAGCAACCAACATGAGCATCAGTAACAGTAAATAATAAATATTGAATGCTTGTTTTAGTCAATAATGCCTTTCTTGTCCTTACATGACCCACACCTTTTTTCACAACTTGGGTCATGTGATGAGTCACATGATTAATAGTGGGTCAACCCCCACTAAGGTTTAAATACTAATACCAATAAAAATAATCTTAATTCTAACCAATATAAAAACCATCTAATAGATCACATTAGTCTTGATACAACCTCTGCCATCACATTTGATCAATCCCTTTAGGCTCCTTTGATCGGCTTCATCACCTAGTGGGGGTGGGGGGTCATGGTTTGGTCCTGCCTTCGCTATTGTGGTTGATATGGGGGTAGGGACGGCCTTAGGGCGTCTGGGGAGTCCCTAGGGACATTTCCCTAGAGGGCCTAACCTGGGGGATGTGGCCATGACCTGGTTAGGAGCTCTGGGGCTCTTAGATGGTGTTTTCCTTGTGGCTGCGTA